TTCATCAGGATCCAAACTTTCCTAAATAATGCACTTTCTTTATTTTCAGGATCATGAAGAACCACAACAGTTCTGAGCCACACTATTGTGAATGATTCTCCATAGATAAGAAAAACACTTGCTTTCTGATCTATCAATTTATTAGAAGTAATTGAGATTGAAACAAATAATTCTGGGAAGTCTTCCAAGTTGATACGTTCTGGAATTTTTTGTATGAAAGCTAAACAGATTCCATTCTGTGAAAGCAATGGCTGCAATTTCTGCAAAAAACGTTCTCCAGTATTTTCAACAGCAAAGACTCCAATCCACCTCCATCCAAAATGGAGGAAAAGTTGTATAACTCCCATGTACTGATTGTCCTCATTTGGCACCATGCAATAAAGTGAAGATAATTTTGTACTCTGAAACTCTTCTTGGGCAAAAGATCCATAGGTCAACTACAGTAAAAGAATGAAAGAAGGAAGGGAGGGAGGGAGGAAGGGAGGAAGGAAGACAGAAAGAGGAAAGGAAAGGAAAGGATAGGAAAATTGTTATTTATGATAACCAGTGGAAAAAGATGGAAAAAAATGACTCCTGGATGGAAACTGAACAATTGAAAAGTTCTCAAACTCTAGGTACATTATGGTTTTGATGAACATTACAGCAATAAAACCCCCAAGATGAAATATTTTCTCACTGAATGAATATAACTGGACTACAAGCTAAATTTAGTTTGCTATTATGGAGTTCCAGATTGCTCATGTCTATGAACAGTCTGAAACCTGCTAACTATCTGAGCATTTAAACTCTTCCTAGCTTAGGAAAAAGCTTTTTAAGAGCTAGGGTTACTGCATTGCCTTCTGCTGTTCTCTGCCCCAGGTAGAGAATGCATGAAAGAGTATCCATAAGACTCTGGAGGAACAGAAAGAGTCAAATATGTCTTCATTTACTGCAATTATTGTAGGCATCTCCAAAAGTAACATAAAGCTCCAATCCTTCAACAATTTCCAGGAAATCAGTTGAATTTTACATTCAGTTATTATTAATAGACACCAACCCACACATAGCAAAGAGAGTTGTCACTATTATTGGGTGACTTGGTGGAATCTAGCAGTGTGTTGAGGGCAGCAATGAAAATGCTGGATAGCGTTGAGTTGGGGATGGGCAGGAAGTGACTGAAAGGAGATCCTCCCTAACACCATGAGACATGATAGCAGTGTTCCAATATTTATGAGTTCCTACAAAGATGAGAGGTAAATTATTTTCCAAAGCTTCCAAAGGCAAGAGGAGAAACAATGGATGGAAACCAATCAAGCAGACAAACAACCTAAAAATAAGGAGAAATTTCCATTGGTGAGAATAATTAACCAATGAAAAAACTTGCATTCAGAGGTTGTGGCTGCTCCATCACTGGAGGCTTTCAAAAAGAGACTGGAAAATCATTTATCTGAAATTGTATGTTCTCCTCCTCAAAGAGTTTATGTAGTAATTGTGTAGCATGTGCTAGCCAGCCTTTTCACTCCTTATCTCAACACAGCTCTGGAATTCAACCACAAGTAGTGGTCAAATCAGAAGATCAAATGACCCTCTCAAATCAGATTAATTTTGTACTGTAATTTGTGATTTACATTTTACTTTTCTAATCTATCAAATAAAAGGTTTTGATGTTCTTCACTTACTACTTTGAGCCAACCTATTGGGTTGTGGGGGGAAATTGCAGACGGGAGAAAAATGGGGATTGAATTGAAGTCCTGCAGAAAGGCACACCAAAAGATAATCTCTGATATTCATTACACATGAAGTCAAATTACCTGTGGAATCTTGAAGAGGTTTATGCTTTCTGACATAAAGGATGAAGTAGGAGCACCTAGTCCTCCAATGATAGCCATGATATTCTTCCGGGTATCACATTTGTAGTTAGGAACAAATTCCTGGGATTTGAAAAGTAGGTCCAGAGTGGTACGATAGGTCAACCTTGGGTTGTAGTAACTATCATAGATATGGAACCCAAGAGTGATGTTAGGTAAGATCTGGGAGTCCTCATTGATCTCCTTCACAGCAAAGGCCACGGCAAGGACATGCTGGTAGAATTTGGTTATTACACTGCAAATAAATTAAATACCCCATTGAAAAAATAATTTCACAATTCTTGTAAGGCAGCTGCATTTCTGTATGAATAACAAACCATCTCTCTTGGAAGTAGGAATAGAATATCCTTTCTAAAATATTCGATAGATTTCCACAGAGTTCAATTTTACATTTTACCTGGTGCTTTCATGATTTGCAACAATGATATACTAAAGAAAATCAAGGTAGTGACTTTTTTCAGTTAACAAATATAATTCTAACAATTTGGGCACAAAGTATAATAGGAACAGCTTCAGCAAGTATCACTCATTTACTCTATGTGCTTTTTGTGAGGGCTGATCATGGAGAACATTTTTTAAATTACCTCAAGCTCATTAAATTAATCATTATATTAAAGTCCTTCTCATGAAATGCATGTTATTTTGGTGTAAGAAGTCCTTTAATAGACTTCTTGCACCTAACTTTCATGCATTTCATGAGAAGGACTTTAATATAATGTAAAGAAAATGCATTCTTCTCCCATAAGACAATCCATTTGAAAGATAAAGGCTTATAAAGATAAAGGCTTATACACACACACACACACACACGTGTGTGTGTGTGTGTGTGTGTGTGTGTGTGTGTGTGTGTGTGTGTATAAACCCTGCATTTATTTTCAAAAGCTTTTACTGGTATCAGAAATTTTGGGGGACCTTTCTAAGCTAAGAAAATACATGGGAAAAATAAAAATTCTTACAGAGGTAAGTCATAAGGTTTTAGAGAAGGGTGTTCCTTAAATTCAATTTCATCAAAGTGGTAAAAAATGTGAGACACCATCCCACCAATGACAAGATCACCAGGCTGGTACCACTCATGTGGAACAGGAAAAGCTTCACTTGCAGGGCATCTCAGAGTAACTACCTTGTGCATCAGGAACATCAAAAGGAATAACATCTTCATGCTTTTGGGATGGTGAAAATATTTTTCGGTTCCAGGGTATGTATGCACCCCAATGGTTCATCCACTGTTTAATCCAAAGATTTTATCTGAAAATGCTCTTCATGGGACAATCCATCAATTTCTGTTTGAAGAGCTATGAGTGTGCCAATTTGAATATCACCAGGATCAGAATATATATTCTGCAAGGAAGAAAGGCAGAGGGAACGTGACACAATGAATCAGACAGGATCATTATTATCCCTTGTGCCAATCTCCCTGTGGTTCAAAAGTTAATTAACAAGCCAACAGATACCTTGATTGTTGTTGAATTGAAATGCCTTCATGTAAAGCCTTTAATATTTGAGCCTAGCTAAAAAAATATAGTGATTCCTCTATATAATTGTTTTATTTTTCATGGAGCAGCATGGTGCTCCACAGGTGGAGTTTTTGCCTCACAATCAGGAGGCTGTGAATTTGATCCTAGGTGGTGGCAGATGTTTTTCTCTTTGGGCACAGAGAGAAAATATCTGCTGTGAACTCCATGTAGTTTCTGGGATGCCCCTCATTGGACACTATGCATGAAGAGAAGGATTTGTTGGTGGAACACACAACCTATTGAAACATAGCAATGGCAATTCTGAGAGTCACACTCAGTAACCACACTTTTTCTCTTCTTTGTGTACCAGTTCAATAGTTCCTATTGTGATTTGTGGTGCCCTAACTTAGACTAGTTATATAGACATGTGTTCATTTAAAAAATAATTAAACTATCAGCCACAATCATAACAACAGAACACTCTCCCTTCAGCCCTTTTCTTCCAGTAACCAGGGGAACAAGGGTCATTACACAGAGAAACAGGCAAACCTAGAGATATCAACATAGATATGAAAGAATCTGGATTAGATAATGGAAATTATCAAAATTGGATTATATGAATGACCTTTGACTTTATTAATATTTGGGAGGGGGTGTAGAAATTCCTGAAATCATAGAGACAAGAACAACAAGCAAAAGAAATTGTAACTCTGAATAATAACAACTACTCCTAATACAAATAAGGGTCATCTGGTGAAATAAAATATGGTGATCTCTTTTTCTTTCTTTCTTTCTTTCTTTCTTTCTTTCTTTCTTTCTTTCTTTCTTTCTTTCTTTCTTTCTTTCTTTCTTTTTCTTTCTTTCTCCCTCTCCCTCTCCCTCTCCCTCTCCCTCTCCCTCTCCTTCTTTCCCTCTCCCTCATCTCTGTCTGTCTGTCTGTCTGTCTGTCTGTCTGTCTGTCTGTCTGTCTGTCTGTCTGTCTGTCTGTCTGTCTGTCTGTCTGTCTGTCTGTCTGTCTATCTATCTATCTATCTATCTATCTATCTATCTATCTATCTATCTATCTATCTATCCATCATGACCTGCAGCACTGTTATATAATATGAATTTTCTCTAGACCATTGCAGAAATTCAGGGCTGTAGTATGTTTGAAAAAGATGATGGGAGACTATTCTAAAAATAATAAAACTTCATGAGGACATTTTATGATGGACCTAGTGGCCTATTTTCTTGGTAACGATCAAATATTTTATCCTTGTCTTTTTCCACCATATTTTTATCTTTAATTCTGAGTCTACTTTACAAACTGTAATAGGCTGTTCATCTCCCATTCATAGGCTTGTTAGGTCAGACATTGCTTAACTGGATGTATGAGTAGGTTGAGACCCAACACATAAATCCAGGAATCACCATCACAACACCTGGTTTTAATCATAGTATATGAAAATTCCTACATCCACCTAGCACCCAAAAAACATTAACAGAATGGATGACCATCAGCACTCACAATATTTGTTTCTGTTGCATGAGGATGGAAAACGTAGGGGCAAGAAGAGCAATGCAAAGGAGAATGCAAGGGTGAACCAAAACAACTTCCACTACTAATAAAAACTAAGGTTTCTGTGATGAAATAGGATCTGCCTCCCCCCTCCCATCTATCTATCTATCTATCTACCTACCTACCTACCTACCTACCTACCTATATATCATGACCTGCAGCATTGTTATATAATATGAATTTTCTCTAGACCATTGCAGAACTTCAGGGCTGTATATGTTTGAAAAAGATGATGGGAGACCTATTTTAAAAATAATAAAACTTCATGAGGACATTTTATGAGGGAATGAACATAATTTCATACCTGGTTAAAACCAGGGTGCCAAATGATTGTGTTCTCAATGATAACCTCTTTTTCTTTTAGAGCACTGGGTGTGTAACTTTCCAACTTTAACTCTCTGAAAGGATTTGTTTGGGAAAGTAATCATATTGATGATGTCAAAGCCACTTGCACCACCTTCTCTTCTGTCTTTAAAGAAGATTCTTTCTCCAGCTGAGTTGTTAAAAGAAATCTCTTGAAGAAATTTGTGAAGCTACAAGAAGAAGAAGAAGAAGAAGGAGGAGGAGGAGGAGGAGGAGGAAACCAAATATTTCCAGGAAACCAAATAACATTTATTGGTTTGAAATACAGAAGAAGAAAATGTCCACCCACAAAGAATGATTAATAACTGAAATATGGATCTCACTTTTATTTTATGAATTAATTATGACAAATACTTTAAAGTAGCAAACTCAGCATTTCTCCTGGTACTTTATCATAAGTCTGAAAACCAACTTCACTTCATAGAAATAATGCACCTCTACTATCAAAGAAGAACTATGATAACCCCTAGGTCTCCAGTCTAACAATCCTGTCTTGAATACATTGCAAAAAACTAATACAAGTAAAATGTCCACATTTCAGAAAAGTTTGTTGGTCACAAAAAAAGTTAGCCTGCATTCAGACACAATGCAATTGAATCTTTCATGGAACCAGGCTGGTTAAATTTACAAGACAGGCCAATTCAATGTAGAGATGAAACATTTATTTATGGAATGAACATTGATACATAAATTGTATTGACTAGGCTGAAATTGACAAAGACATGATTTATGTCCATCTTCTATTTTATAACATAAATGACCTCAGACCCTAATAGCCTTGTGCCTCAGTCTCTCTATTGATCAGTGCCATAGGACAGGGTAAATAAGCTATGATAACTGAAACACAAGATAGGTGAGGCATGGAGAGATTACCTGCCAAGGCTGCAGATTTGGAAATTCAATCCTTTGAATTTCTCTTGGTTGGGATTTTGGTCTCACTGCCTCATGCAAAGAATATGCCACTGCATAAACAGCATTGTAGATACTGTAGCTTTGGCTAGTCATCTGCAACTCAAACAGAGGTGCAGGCAGACTCTCCACATTCTCTTCCCCACTACAGTTTCCACTAAACATTGAAGGTAAATCTCCCTTTGAAAATATACAATCAAACAATTGTTGCCAAACATCTTGAAGAAATCCATCCTTGTGGGTTGAAGGTTTGATGACTTGAAGAAATTCTTTAAAGCCTTTAACTTCTCTTGAATGCACTGTAAAGGAAAGAGCCCCATGGAACAACTGGAGATCCCAGCCCCTTTGAAATCCTGTCAGTATGAAATCAANTTCATCAGGATCCAAACTTTCCTAAATAATGCACTTTCTTTATTTTCAGGATCATGAAGAACCACAACAGTTCTGAGCCACACTATTGTGAATGATTCTCCATAGATAAGAAAAACACTTGCTTTCTGATCTATCAATTTATTAGAAGTAATTGAGATTGAAACAAATAATTCTGGGAAGTCTTCCAAGTTGATACGTTGTGGAATTTTTTGTATGAAAGCTAAACAGATTCCATTCTGTGAAAGCAATGGCTGCAACTTCTGCAAAAAACGTTCTCCAGTATTTTCAACAGCAAAGACTCCAATCCACCTCCATCCAAAATGGAGGAAAAGTTGTATAACTCCCATGTACTGATTGTCCTCATTTGGCACCATGCAATAAAGTGAAGATAATTTTGTACTCTGAAACTCTTCTTGGGCAAAAGAGCCATAAGTCAACTAAAGGAAAAGAAAGAAAGAAAGAAAGAAAAAGAAAGACATAAAGACAGGAAGGAAGGAAGGAAGGAAGGAAGGAAGGAAGGAAGGAAGGAAGGAAGGAAGGAAGATAAGAAAAGAAAAGAAAAGAAAAGAAAAGAAAGGGGACGAGAGGAAAGAAAAGGAAAGTTATTATTTATTAGAATCAAGGGAAGAGTTTCAGAAAGCTCATCCCCATGAACAGCTGGAAATCTTCTCACTATCCCAATATGTGAACTCTACCCAGCCTAAGGAAAAATTATTAAGGACTAGACTTATTGGATAACATTCTGCCCAACTCTGCAGAAGATAGAGTAAAATACGTAAGCATGAAATACTATACATGAGATTATTGAAGAATAGAAAGAGTTAAGTATGTCCTCCTTTACTGCAATTATTATAATGATCTCTAAAAGTACAATGAAGCCCCAATCCTTCAACAACCTCTAGGGAAATCGAATTTTAAATTCAGTTATTATCAGATGCAAACCAAGACATAGCAAGGAGAGTTAACCACTTATATTTGGGTGGTAATCACACCACAATGTGACTTGAGTGTATCAAATAAGTTTAATTTTGTTGTGTAATATTTGTTTTAAATTTTCTGATCTATCATCATAATAAAAGTTTTCAATTTTGTTGATTGGATTACCTTGAGTGAATTGTGGACAAAAATTGCAGAAAGGAGAGCAAAGTGTACTGTAATGTCTTGCAGAAAGGCACAGCAAAAAAAAAAAATAATCTCTGATATTCATTTAAAAAAGAAGGCAAAGTTTCTCTTTCAGCCTCCTGCAAAAATTACCTGTGGAATCTTGAAGAGATTTATACTTTGTGCCATGTAGGATGAAGTAGGGACATCTAATCCTCCAATGATGCCCATGAGATTCTTCTGGTTATCACATTTGTAGTTAGGATAAAATTCCTGAGATTTGAAAAGCAGGTCCAGAGTGGTGCGATAGGTCATCCTTGGGTTGTAGTAACTGTCATAGATGTGGAACCCAAGAGTGATGTTTGGTAAAATCTGGAAGTCCTCATTGATCTCCTTCACAGCAAAGGCCAAGGCAAGGACGTGCTGATAGAATTTAGTTATTACACTACAGATAGGTTAAATAACCCCTTTGAAAAAGGAAGTTGACACTTTTTGTAAGGTAGTATAATTTGTATATGATTAACAAACATTTACATATTTGATGGAAATAGGAATAGGATATTTTTTCTAAGATATTCAATAATTTGTAGAGAGTTCAAATATATTTTTGGACATTGTTTGCATAATCTTCAACAATGATATATTAAATAAAAATAGTTGCCTTTTTTGTAAGCTATCACATTTATTTCTATTACTTTAACACAAAATAGAATATGACCAGCAAAGTTCACTCGTTTAATGGATATATGTTATGTGAGGAATGTCCATGTACATTTGTTTGTTTATTTATTTATAGTTGCCCATTTGAAAGCAGTGAACAAACATAAAAACCAATTAATTGATTTAAGCTAACTAAAGGTTCTTCAAAAACATCTTGCACCAAAGTTTCATACATTTCATGATGAATACTAGTAACATAATATAATGAAAATTATTTCTTCCCTAAAGACCAGAATAGCAGAATAACAGAGTTGGAAGGAACCTTGGAGTTCTTCTAGTCCAACCCTTTACTCAAACAGGAGACCTTATACCATTTCAGACAAGTGGCTGTCCAGTCTGTTCTTAAAAACTTCCAGTGAAGGAGCACCCACAACCTCTGAAGGCAAGCTGTTCCACTGGTTGATTTTTCTCACTGTTAGGACATTTCTCCTTAGTTCTAGGTTGCTTTTCTCCTTGATTAGTTTCCATACATTGTTTCTTGTCCTGCCTTCATGTGCTTTAGAGAATAGGTTGACCCCTTTTTCTCTGTGAGAGCTCCTCAAATGTTGGAACATTGCTATCATGTCAGCCTTAGTTTTTCTTTTCATTAGACTAGACAACCCAATTCCTGCAACCGTTATTCATATGTTTTAGTCTCCAGACCCCTAATAATCTTTATTGCTCTTTTCTATACTCTGGAAAGAGTGCAGAAAAGATACATTTGAAATACAAAGAAGCCATAGATATTACACAAAACCATACATTTATGCTCAAAGAGCTTTCACTCTTATAAGTATTTTGGGGGGGATTGTGGTTAAGATTATACAATTCATGGGAAGACAAAAAAAATCCTTACATTGGTAAATCATACTGTATTAGAGATGGATGTTCCTTAAATTCAATTTCATAAAACTGATAAAAAAATTGAGACACCATCCCACCAATTATAAGGTCACCGGGCTGGTACTACTCATGTGGAACTAGGAAAGCATCACTTGCAGGACAGCTCAGGGTAATTTGTTTGTGCCCCAAAAATATCAGAATGAACAACATTTTGACTCTTTAGTTATGGTGAAAATGTTTGTCTCTTAATCAAATCCGTAGGAAAGTAATCCAATGGTTCATCCAGTGATTGATCTAAGATTTATATCTGAAAGTTCACCTAATGACAAAATCCATTACTATCTATTTGAAGATCCATGTGAGTGCAAATTCATATCTTACCAGGATGTGAAAAGACTTTCTTACAGGTAGAAAGAACCCTATACTAATGGATCCAACTGACCCATTTTCCCCCTTGTGCCCATCTCCCTGTGGTTCAAGAGATATTTTATATGCAAACAGATGCTTGCATCTTGATTGTTGTTGAAATTAAACATGCTTTTGCTCAGCAAGTTTGGGCATAACTAGGAAAATAACATGATTCCTATAGGAAATAATTATTTTGTTATTGATGAAATATTAAGTGTCTGATGGTTTGATACTGAGAAAATGCCAATTAAAATAATATGCTGTAAGGGAGGATGACAATAAAAATAATTCATGTTCGTTTCTTACAATGGAGCAGGACTCCCATTTTCCATGTAAAATGAACACAGTATTTTAACATAGAAGAGGAAAGTTTTTTACCTATTAAGGAATGCCAATTACACCAGATAGCCATTTGGATGAGTTCAACCATATTTCTAGGCAGTGAATGCTAATGTCAATAAACACCAATACTGATATCATGGAATTAAATTACTGAACCCAAAGCAAATTTATTTTATTTTATTTTATTTTATTTATTTTTTTATTTTATTTTATTTTATTTTGTTATGTTAATTGTTAATGTTAATTTTAATTTGTATACCGCCCTTCTCCCATAGGACTCAGGGCGGTTCACAGCATATTAAAAAACAAATAATATACACAAAATACAAAAATACAGAAATACAAAAATAAAAACCCCAATAAAAGCCGAATTAAAAACCAAATATTGCCAGCTGTGTTTCCGATTAAAATTACTTTTAAAATCATCCCTACCTAA